ACACACACACACACACACACACACACACACACACACACGAACGCATGCACGAATGCACGCACGCACGCACACACATAGAGAATCATATATAAACAGAATCTACTGAATCCCATTAGTGTTCTTAGGTCAATAATGTTCTTTGTGTATAAGGATAGAGTTGCAATACAGTTAGGAATTATAATGGTTTATGGAAGTAGTGTTAATTTCCTTTAATTTATGGCGTCATTCCTCACATGACCTTTGCTGTTTTACATTATGAGGCATGAATTTTTTTTTGTTAGGCATGACCTGGATGCCATCAAGTAACTAATAGTTCTGGATAAGCTATAAGAGCCACTAGTTTATCTTTAATGTTATCTTGCCATGTTGGAAATGGCATTATAACTAGGCTGGAGAATTTAACACTTTCCTCCCTTCCTGGTCTCTGAAAGCTAGGGTTCTCAGAAATAAAGTTTGATGTATTCAAGTTCAAATTCTCCTTGATCCAAATCAATGCAGTGATTTCTACAGTGGGAATTTACCTGTCACTTATTGTAGTCAACCAAGTGTGATGGCAATATACTGTACTCCTTTGGTAGTTTCTTGGTCTCCACTTGTAAACAACTCAAAAGTGGTTTTCTTTTGTCCTTTGGTTTGTCTTTGTAAGAGAGTAGGAGGCTTCCTTAAAGAGGCATAGACAATAGAGAGTGTGGGGAAGGTTATCACCAAGATGAGGTCACCTGGGCAATCACAATAATTTGAGAAATCACAGGTTAACAGTCTTTTTCTCCTTGGTGGCAGGTATGCTTGACACCTGTATGACTGATTTCTACCTGGGAATGCTACATCAGTAACAGAAGTATCAGCAAGCCGCTGCAGAGGAATCCTGGCTTCTTCAGTGTTTACAGAGAAATGTCACTCATGACGAGATTCAGCTCTGAGAGATACTTCTGGTGTAAGGTAATAACTGTAGCAGAGAGCAGGGTGAGGCTGACATTTTGGCAAATGCTTCCTATACATCAGCTATATTGGATAAAAGAAAAAATGCAAATTTCAGTTAGTATTCTTTATAAGTATTGAGGCCAAAATATAAGTGGACACAATTTAGACCAATAATACAGAGCACAGTCTAGCATCCCGAGATCTGTATCCTGATGGAGCCATGTAGCAATAATTTTAGGTGTCTGTGGTAATGATCATCAAAGATTACTTAACACTGAAATTTCTAGAGTTGCAGAAAAACTTCCTCATGGTATTTTTTTATTAATTTT